ATCTGACTTGTGTACCGAAACAAATCTCCACAGCAATTTGAAAACATGAAAGTTATATAATGGGCAGGGGAAACAACACTGTTCTAGGCAACAGCCGATCTATTCCCGGCTCCCTCTTTGCGAGTGACTTTCTGAGCAACGATTGGTGATCAGTGGCTAATATCGGCCTGAAAGTGCAGAGCCCCTAGATCTATTTGTTTTCCAGGACCCCAAAGAGAAATCTCGTATCTGTGTTTGGCTGCGTTGCTGGGTAGCTGCTGGTGGAATGTGTTTGTGCTCTGGGGAAACAATTTTTTTTTTAATCTTGGTCTTCTGGAAACATTAGCACCACCCTGTTAATTTCATTCGTCGATGACGTCATGCATCCGATGCATTTGGGCAAACAGACGCAGAGGACAGAAACTTCCCAGGCAGCCTTGGAGCTTCAGGGGTGATGTTCATGGCAACAGAGATAGGAGAGGCTGTGACTCAGTAGAAGAGCCTCTGCAGAAGGTCCCAGGTTCAATCCCCGGCATCTCCCGCTGAAAGGATCTGGTAGGAGGTGATGTGAAAGACCTCTACCTGAGACCCTGGAGAGCAGCGGCCGGTCTGAGTAGAGAATACAGACGCTGATGGACCAAAAGGTCTGATTCAAGATAAGGCAGCTTCATGTGTTCATGTGAAGGGCGTTGAAGTTGGTGGGGCAGCAGAAACCTTCCTCTTGCATTGCGGCTCCAAAATAGAAGGATGGGGGGGGGAGGTTTCCGGTGGGCACACCCACTAACCTGGTTACCGTCAATAGAAGGTGGCTTTTCTTTTTCTTTTTTTTAATTTTCAAAACCTTTATTTAGGTAGGTGTTAGAAGGTGGCTTTGAGGTTTGGATGCTGAATGTGGGAGTGTGTGAAGGGGTTTCACTAGTAGAGCTGGTTTCCAGCATGACCAGGGAAATCCATCCTTTCTCTGCCTGACGTGTTGGCCCTGCTCACAGCTGTTAGGGTTGTCAACCACCAGCTGGTGGCTGGAGGTCTCATAGGAACATACGAGAAGCCATGTTGGATCAGGCCAAAGGCCCAGCCCAGGTGCCATCAGGAGGTCCACCAGTGGGGCCAGAACTCAAGAAGCCCTCCCCCTGTTGCCCCCCAAGCACCAAGAATACAGAGCATCACTGCCCCAGACAGAGTGTTCCATCTATCCCTTGTGGCTAATAGTCACTGATGGACCTGTGTTCCAAATGTTTCTCCAATCCCCTCTTGAAGCTGTCTCCTAGAATTACAATTGCTCTCCAGGCTACAGAGATCAGTTCACCTGGTGAAAATGACCACTTCGGAAGGTGGACTCTGTGGCATTATACCCCGCTGGGGTCCCTCCCATCCCCAAACCCTGCCCTTTTGAGGCTCCACCCCCTACCTTTCCAGGTGTCTCCCAACCAGAAACTGGCAACCCTACAACAGCAGTGAAGGTATGGTGGACAGGGTCAGCCATGACAGATGTGAACACTGTAAACTTACTAGCCAGTATGGTGTAGTGGACAGAGTGGCGGACTAGGTCCCTGGCCAACCCAGGTTCGAATCCTCATTTCTGCCATGGAAGTTTGCTGAGTGACCTTGAGCTTGTCACAGACGCTCAGCCTGGCCTACCTCACAGGGTCAATGTAGAAAACGAAGGCAGGGAGAACGGTTTCTAAAGCCATTTTGAGTCTCAGCTGGAGAGAAAAGCAGGATACGAATAAATGCAAAGGCTGTGCATGTGCACTTTTAATGCCAGGCCCAGGAATGAGGAGGTGGAGAAATCAAAGCAAAATTCTGCAAAGTAAGCAAATTCGTGAGTCTTAAGGCTGATTCTTGGTGCAGTTGTCAAGCTCCAAGGAAGCTGAACTGGGAGAAGTTTCAGGGGTTCCACCATGGTGGGGTGTCTCCATTAACAAACCTGAACCTGCTGCAGAAACACTTCTTGTTCCCAAGTCAAGTTGGGATTGCTTTGCACAGGTCAATGCATCCTTATCTACACGGTGGATTTGGGTCACCATTAAGAGTTGCTCCGAGCAGCATCGGGAGACTGGGCGGTGTTCTGGTATATTTTGCAATTTCGCATGCGTGTGTGTCTTTTGTGAAAATCGTGGGTTCCTGATGCCTTTCCCAGAAAACCAGGAAAAGGGCAGCTTGACAAACAAGCACTCCTGTGTAAAGAAGCTAATGGCAGACGGTTGCCAGGCTACTAATGACCCGCAGGAAGCGTCAGGTGAGTGGCTCTGGCTGGAGGTGCCATATGAGAGAGGGAATAAGCTGGGAGAAGGAGAAGCAGGAGGCCCAGGCGGGCCCGCTGGGCATGGCGCTGAACTGGATACCCTTGGCCGTCCTGTCCCCCACCCCACCCCCCGTAGCTGCTGGCTGGCAGGCCTGGCTTCTGCCAGAATGGTGCTGTGTCACAGGGTGCAAGCTAGGGTTACCAACTCTGAGTTGGGAAATACTTGGAGATTTCCAGGGTGGAGCCAAGGGAGGGCAGGGTTTGGGGAGGGGTGGGACCTCAGCAGGGTATAATGTCGTAGAGTCAACCTTCCATGCTTGTAGCTGCCACCACCTCCTGTGGCAGTGAATTCCATGGGTTACTCACTCTTTGGGTGAAGAAGGACTTCCTTTTATCTGTTCTAACCCGACTGGTCAGGAATTTCATTGAGTGTCCACAAGTTCTTGTCTTGTGAGAAAGGGAGACCTGCTCTATCCCATGCATAATCTTATAAACCTCGATCATGTCACTCCTCAGGAAAAAACAAAAAAACAAAAGGCAAGCCGCAAAGCCTCTGGTAGCCCAGGCAATAAAAGGTGACTCACCTACAGAGATATCTTTTTGCTGCAGGATGTTTGGATAAAGCGAAAAGCCCGGGCCAACGTCACACAGAGGACATATTTATGTTGAACCTTTTAATATTAATTTCGCTTATCCCTCACGATAAAGGGCAGGAATGATTTGGCCACGTGCAGGAGGGGTGTGAGTCATTTCCCCCCCATGCTGTGGTGTTCAGAACAAAGGGGACAAAAGACAGTGTTTTCCCCCTTGGTTGCTTAGAGAAGTTCTTTGACCAAGAGCAAATCTGCAGAAATCATTAAGGGGC